TGTCACCCAGGCTGGAGTGCAGTGGCGCAATCGTGGCTCACTGCAACCTCTGCCTCCCACGTTCAAGTGATTCTCCTGCCTCAGCCTCCTTAGTAGCTGGGATTATAGGCGTGTAGAACCCACCCAGCTAATTTTTGTGTTTTTAGTAGAGACTGGGTTTCACCATGTTGGTGAGGCTGGTCTCAAACTCCTGACCTTGTGATCCACCTGCCTTGGCCTCCCAAAGTGTTGGGATTACAGGAGTGAGCCACTGCACCCAGCCAATTTTTTGTATTTTTAGTAGAGACAAGGTTTCATCCTGTTGGCCAGGCAGGTCTTGAACTCCTGACCTCAGGTGATCCACTCGCCTTGGCCTCCCAAAGTGCAGGGATTACAGGCATGAGCCACCGCGCCCAGCCTAAATTATTTTCAGTAGTCTAGATCATTAATTATTGTTCTTTTATTTGAATCTTCACCAGAAGAATTATGATCTTCCTTAGCAGATCCCAGCTTGGAAATATCAGGTACTTTCCAACTGCTGGCAGAGACTGTAGTTTATAGAAGTTTTCACATTTCCTATTTTCTTCCACCAAAAATGCTTCTAGGTCTAGGATTTGTAGACTTCGAAATCCTGGACAGGGGCAAGCTCCTCTGTCCTTTGTCTTCATAAATATAGCCGCTTGTTCTTGAAAGATTAATACCAACTACATCAGAGTTCGCTCTGGTGTTAGTGTCTCTAGGCACTGGACAATTTGTCTGCATTAACATTTTGCAGAGGAGGTTGAGTAGGACAACAGGTTGAGAAGTTTTCTATTCTTGCTTCCCAAGATTTTAATTATGATTGTTTGGTCCTCCACGTAGCTTTTTATTATCATGGATGCTCCTTAGCAATGTAAAGCCAAATGTTACCTGGCTATTCGCATATGCAGCCCACCAGTTTTCATGGCTGGTGAGATGCTGTTACAGTGGATTTTTTTGAAAGGGAAAACTTTGTATAGGCCAGTAATTAGGTTTTCTTGAAGATACCTTTACTGATTCACTCAGGTTAGTAAATAATGACCGTGCAACTAGTATTACAGCCAAAAGCTCATTCATCATATTCAACCATATTCTGGACTCTCATCAGCTGATTTTTCCTTAAGGATTCAAAGCCATTCAAAGCCACAGGCATGATGATTCCATGAGACTCTATGAGATTACATGAGACTGAGTTTGAGGGAACAATAGGGTCTGAGTTGAGTCCTTCCTACAGATCTTTATTGAGCTGGAATCCTTGCAAGAATAGAGGGCCTCTTCAGATTTAAGTTTAGACCCAGCCAGCACCACTTCATGGGCAGCTAGAACTGGTAGGTCCAGGAGTACTTTGAGGGCTGAATATCTGGCCCCTGGCACATCTCCTAATACTGCCTCTGTGACCACACAGGTGGAACTTCCTGCTGATACCCTTTCCATATTGTCCCTCTGTTCTGCAGCTGTGTCTTAGAGTCCTGTGTGTTCAGTCCTTCCATTTGCATTTTCTCCTTGGCCAGTGTATTACTTTCATTGGCACATTCAATATATGAATGAGATACATCCCCTTTAGACCCCACACTTCATTGCCTAACTTGCCTCTAGTTAGCCTCATGCTTCGACATTGGTAATGCAATTACCATTGGAAGATCAACTTAAAGAAATACATCTTCTCCAGAGGGCCAAAGCGGGATCCACTGTCTGTATTTAGTGTCTGCTACCTCATTCTATAATTTCTGTACAGATCCAGCTTCTCTTCTGCTTTTAGAAAGTGTCAGCCTCTTCCAGTTCTGTGACTTCCCCCTTCCACCCCACTTCCCACCACTATGAAGGTAACACCATTTTTATTTCTCTCTCAGGCCCTCCTGCTCTTTCCCAGCTCTGTCGCCTGTGTGTCCGGAAGTGTCTCGGTCGAGCATGTCATCAAGCCATCCACAAGCTATGTCTGCCGGAGCCGCTTGAACGATTCCTCCTATACCAATAGTGTTAAGTGTCCCTGGGAAGATACTTGGAACTACACAGATAGTTGTCTGCTGTACCTAGAGTACCTAGTGTAGATGCTCAACAGCTAGACTCTCACTATCTTCAAATGAGCTCAGTTGAAGTAAACCCCCCATGAGCTAGAACACTTGATGAGTGGAAACTCCTGGTTAGTTTAATGTTCTCATTAACCAAGGGGCAACCAGAAACCATTTAGCTTTTAGCTCTTGTTATTAAAAAACTTAAAAAATGTGAAGTAGAGTGAAAATAATAGGCATTTTTTTTATGATTCAGGATCTTCTTGTACCTAAAAGTGAACATTCTGAATATTGTATAGACACATGTAAATTCAGATGGATAAGATTATAACAAATGTTAGGTATTCCAAGATATGTTCTTGATTTAGTTCCTCCCTTCAGCCCTTCCCTATTTTTTTTTCTTTCTTTCCTTGAATAAATCTCTGCTATAATTTTGAATTTGTGTGTATATATACACACACACATAATGTTTTTAATGTCCCATATATATATATATATATATATATATATATATATGTTTTCAAAGTCCTTAGTATATGTATAAGCCCATATGCATGTTTTCAAAGTTATTTATATATAAAGTTATATATATATACTTATATAAAGTTAAGTATTTCAAAAACATGGTTAACTGAGGCTTCCAGTTACTGAGGTCCTGGTTGGTAAGAGAGACTTTGGAAGCGATCAGTGTACCTAGCGGTTGGGGTCTATTGCTTATTGCTTCTGATATCAAATACAGTTATTTGAAGTAAGCAGTTCTAAGATTGAGCAACACTGGGTGTTCCCAACAACCTGAACCCACAGTCATCGTCTGAGGCATGTTGCAACCCAAGCACTCGCTTATTTTCAAAGTCAAGATCCTCATGGTTTTTGAAATAATTACATATTGATGCCAGCCACCAAAGCGGGCTCAATGCTGGGTGGACAGGCGCCCAAAATAAGCACAAAGGTATATAAAAAGAGG